TTTTTGCTTCACGCGGTTCGGTCCTGGGAGCCGTGGACCATGCCAAGCGGACTAGGGGTTCAGGCCCTATATAGAAGGACAAAGGCGTAGATCGAGACGCCACTGTCTTGAAGTGCAGCCTCTTTTTCCACGATGAACTGGCGATCATCCCTGAGGATGCGCAGAGGCCCCTTCGCAGCATCAGCGGCGTCGGTGCGCTAAACCCCACAACCCGCACGCCCTTCCAAAGCAGGCGCAATGCTCATGATGAGGCTTGGCAAGGGGGTTCAGATCTGTGGCGCCTGGGATTGCTGTGAAGTAGAATTTTGGGGTTCGAAGCGTTGGGCGATGGAGGAATGCTGTGTTGTGATGGTCAGGTTACCTAAAATGCTTCCACCGGAATGTGGGCCGGGAAAACAACGGGGGCCCCAAAATTGGCAAAATGGGGGCATCCTGGTTGCAAAATCCGGGCCTAACAGGCCCCTGTTGGGGCTTCACTTTTGGTTTGTTTATCCAATTTTTGCCTGCGTGGCTCTAATCCAGCTCAAATTACGGGCCTATTTTGGAGTCCATGTTTAGAGGTGCATTTCACACAAACAACTCTCACAAAAAACCGATTTTTTCAGCCGCTTTATTAAAATGTTCCGGAGAGTTGCACAACCACTGCACATGAGCAGTCATGCTATCCATCAGCAGGTCAAGGAAGAAATTGCTGTTTACAGCAAATGGAAGCTGCCTTCCAAGTGGACCATGCCTTGAGCAGCTTACAAAAAAATGGCCTCCTTGTTGGTCGACGGCTTCTGCACCAGTGAGTTGCAAGTGTTGCTTGTTGTCAAGCAACTTACAGGGCCGTGCGGCCACAGGAACCAGCGTTCAAGATACACCAGGTCTGAGCAAGGATGAAACGTGGCAGGGTCGTGACCGAAAATGCCCAGCACACGACGATTATTGAGCAGTGCATCAAGGTCAAATTACCCCCCCCCACCCCCCCACCACACACCGGGATGTGGGCGCAAAACGGGGCCAAAAAATTGGGCCTCTTGTTGCAAAAATCCGGCCGGGCTAACCAGGCCACTTGCTTGGGCTTTAGATTTGGTTTTCCCTGATTCAATTTGCCTTGCGTGGCTCTACCTCAAGCTCAAGTTACGGGGGCTAGTTTGGTGGACGTTTTTTGCCATTTTTGAGTCCATGCGTGGGGGTGCATTTTTGGCCCCTCAAAAAATCTACAAAGGACGCTTTCAGTCGATTTATTAAAACGATTTCCGGAGAGTCACCGCCTTGCAGTGAGTATTCCATTTCCATTCGCTCTCCTGACTCGACTTTTCTCCGGTGTTTCCGAGGCCCAAGCCGTGACCGCGGCAAGGCCGAAATCCAGGAGCTCCTGCCCACAGCACTTTCCAGGTTGAGCCTTGTTTTTCATTATTCTTCCTGATGATTTTTTTTGGCGGGAGGGGGTGGGGCTAGGCACAAGGATGAGGGTCAGGGGAGCGAGACGAACAGGGATTTGGGGGGCACCCCCAGAAAGGGAGGGGGTTGTATGCGACGTATGAACAAGGGGGGAGAAAGGTTAGGTGGGGGAATGCCTGCATGCAACACAACAAAGTGCGATCGCCACTGCGGACGCCCGGCGGAGCTTCCTCCGGGCACCTCAGAAGCCGAGAACGAAATTCACGGCTGAAAAAACCCTATAAACCTCAAACTAATAAAATATAAAAATACAAATAAAAATAATATACAAAAATAAAAAGAAAATTCAGGCCCTAGGGAAACCCAATAAGCCCTAATAACCCTTAAAAACCCTTATAAAACCCCTAATAAACCCCGTCCCTTTTAAATTGTCAAGAAGGTACCTAAAATGAGCTCCCCCCTGCTTCCTTCCGCAACTCTCAGGTGCAAGGATTAAGTTTCCTGCGGAGTTCCCACGCCCGTCACAGCACCTCGGACAAGAAAAACACAACAGCTTCACCTTGTCCGGGTTAGGGATGAGGGTTTGAGGGTTAGGGTTTGGGTTTTCGGGGATTGTTTTTATCTTTGCAAGAGAGGTTTGACAATTATGTTGAATGAGATTTAAGCGGCAGGTTGGAGGGTAGGTGTCATCTGTTCTCAAAGCGGCCCCGGCAAGCCCAGCATAATGGCTCACTGGCTCCGCAAGCGATGGTGGCTTTGGGCCGCGGATGTCAAAAAAAACGGTAGGTTGTGGGGAGCGTGGGGGGAGGGGGGGGGATATATCTAACATATTATTCACATTTTGTGGCTAACCGAAGCAACAGCACACACGCAGAGCCCACATCCCAAAACTTAAAAAGAAGGGTTTGCGCGGGAATTGCCAAAAAATTAAAGGTGTTCATGTCAAAATCTTCCCAAAGGACATCAAGGGTCCTTCTTTCGAGTAGAAAAGCAAAGGACGATCTGATGACAAATTACTTTGAAGTCTGGGGCAAATGGAGGTCTTCGTGTATGGCGCAGGCCTTGAGGTGGGTTTACATATAGGTGCATATAACATATTTATATTATGTATATATCAAAACGACTAGATTTCAAAAGTAATATTGGGAACACGAGTTGCGACATGAACATCTTAGCGGGAAACAACGAGATGCGTCAGAGTTCGCGATGTTGGAATGAGCCCGGCCTCAGCGTGGAGCGCATGTGAGGCGACATGGGCACAAGGAAGCGCGAGACAATAGCCCGTTGCGATTGCCATGCATGCCTCGGAGGAGCGGCACGAAACCTGAAAACCATTAATCTTTCGAACGCAATCAAGACCTACGCATGCCCGGCCTATTTGGTCATCCACAATCACCCAGACACTCCAAACCCTTAATTAAGGGTCTTCCTTCAAATTGGCTTCCTTATATGGTTTAAGGAAATTTTCTGAATTCAGGGGTCGTATCTATAGGTCTCTGAGAACCCTCCGAAGATGACCGACATAGGCAGCGGTTCCACCTTGGACCCTCAGACGCATCAAGGGCCCCTCTGAGGTTGTTTGCGACCCTAGTGTGGGTTTAGGGTTGTATGTTTAGCGTTTAGAGCGTAGGGTTTTGGGGTAGTGTGGGATTTCTTGGGTGAGGGATGGTGGGGGTTGTGTACGGCGATCCTTCCTGACGGCCCAAACCCAACGGTTTAGGGGTGTGGCGTTGAGATCGGCAAGCTGTGAACACAAACCACCGCCCAGCACCTAGCTGAGCCCTGTAACTCAAAAGTTCAGAAGGCCGTACCAACCCCTGAACCCTCAAGAGAGACAGGAGCAAGGGTTGTCTTAGCCTGCACGCCGTGAGATGTTCTTAAGGTCCATTTGCCAAGACCCTCAACAGCCTTGTCTGCTTGAATGCTAGAAGCCTGAATAATTAAGAAGCATGCTGAAGTTCTAAGACGAGCAAGATACCCGTATGAGTTGGCGAGGAGTTTGAGTTTTTCGGCTATTTTGGGGGTTCCACGGCATTTCATGGCCGAGGGGGGGGACAAACACGAGGACCCGTCAACCTAGGTCTGTTGGGCATCCTCCATCGACGGCGTCCTTGAAAGGTTAGGTTGCACCATAATCTTGCTGTGCGGGAGATCTGAGTGCTAAAAGCGCGGGATCCTAAAACCGCCAGCCTTGTATAGCCCTCCCAAGTTCAAGCCTCATTGGGAAAATGAAGCACTCAGATGCGCAAAGGCGAAAAAAAAAACCTCGGCCCCCCCCCCTAAGGCCCTGAAACCAAGACAGGCACTATCACCCCCGCCTTGACCGAACAAACGCCACATGAGTAGCTGCGAAGGACATGCTCTGACTCTATCTGCTCGCGCTCCAAGGCGGACCAGGCAGGCAGGCAAGGCCAGCGGCGAACCGCCCCTCTGCCCGCCGCCCGCCCCAGCAAACACACACAACACAAACAACCACCACCCACACACACACACACAAACACACAGAGCACAGCACCGCACAGCACAGCACAACGCACCGCACCGCACCCGCACAGCACCCACAAACACACCAAAACAACACACATTAACACGCCACGCACGCACCCACACCACACACACTACATTTACACACTTGCACCATACCCCACACGCACACACACCACACACACACCACACACGCACGCACGCTACGCACGCACACGCACACAACACACAACACACAGCGACCACACTGTGAAGACACAGTACACAGAACAACAGGAACACCACATCACAGGGGCACGCCGCACGCACGCACGCTTGCAGCGCACGCAGCACGCAGCCACCACCCGCACCCCCCAAGAAACTTGCACACACTTACACCACACACTTACACCACACAAACACACACTTACACACACCACACACCACCACACACCACACACACACACACACACACACACACCGCCCACAAACACACAACCCCCCACCAACCACACTTTTGCACGACACGCACACCACACACACACACACGTGCGCACACACCACACCACACATTTTTGCGCACAGCAACGCACACACGCACACACGCACACACGCACACACCCACAACACACACACACCACACACCCCACACACACCCACACACACACACACACACACACACACACACACACCACACACACACACACACACACCACACACGCAACCACACACCACACACACACACACACACACAAACGGCACACTTGCGCACACACGCACACACACACACCCAGACACCACACTTTCTTTAACACACTGAAACACAATTGCACACACTTACACACACTTACACACACACACACACTTACACACACTTACACACACACACACACACGTACACACCACTTACCACACACTTAAACACACGTACACACATTACACACACACACACACACACACACACACACACCCACCCACCCACCCACCCACCCACCCACCCACCCACCCACGCACGCACGCACGCACGCACGCACCCTGGACTGCGACCAGCCAACAACGGCTCTTGCACGACCTGCGGCACTTCTGACTATTTGCTACTTCTCGTGATTCTGGTTGCTGTTGTCCTTGGTGTTGTTGTTCTCTACAGCACCATGTTGAAGAAGGGGCGCACCAACAGAAACCGCCACTCTATGGTGGGCATGCTCGGTCTGGCACAGCTTCTGACGGTGATTCAGATGCTGTCTGTGATCAGACGTTTCAATCTTGCCTGGACTGAGCCCTTGGCAAGTGTCCTTGGCTTTCTGGAGTTTCTAAGCTTGGATGTTGAGGTGCTTTCCTTCAACTGTTTGACGACTGTGGGTCCTGTGGAGCTCTTTGCTGCCCGAGTGCTCGTGGTCCCGGCAATCATGATTGCTGCATGCTTGGTGCATATTTCCCACCACGCCTATCTTCGTGTCAGAGGAGCATCCAGGGCCCATCTTGTTTGTAAGCAACTTGCTACAACATTGCGGGCTGTCTTCTTCACCTTCTTCATCATCTTCTTCGCCACGCTTCTCACACCTTTACAGTGTCGTGAGCATCCGAATAAACGTTGGACTGTTCGAGGCTATCCTGATGTACACTGTGACGGTGGCGACCGACACGTTCAGATGCTGGTGCTGGCCAGCGTGGCGTGCACGATGCCACTGTTCTTTATCGCGGTCTGCATCTGGCTAGTCATGGTGCAGCTTCCCCGGCGCTTGGCCAGGTCGGATACGGCCTTCTTGGAGTCTTGCTCCTTTCTGATCGCACGCTTCCGCCCCGGCGCAGAAAGCTCCTGCGTGCTCTTTTTGATCAGGGGCGCGCTGGTGGCCTTCAGCCCAGTTCTGGCTGCTCAGTACGCTAGAATCTTGATGTGCTCTTGGGTGTTGTATGTTCAGATAGTGATGGTGGCTCTGGCTCAGCCATGGAGATACATGGTGTGCAACATCCTGGACATTGCTCTTGCTATTGGCCTGCTTGTGATTCTTGACATGGGCTCGTTTGCAGTTGCAGATGCGGATCCAAGAGAGAGCTCAGCGGTTGCAATGTTCTTCCTTTGCTTGATGTTTCTCATGATCGGCGGGACGTCGTCTCGCAGTATGGCAAGCTACTTTTTTCAACGGTTCCAAAAGAAGTTCAAGTTCTTCGTGTGCCATCAGAAAAGTGTTTCCGGGTCCATGGCCCCGCTACTTCAGATGGCACTGGAGAGGCAGCTGCCGGGCACGAAGACCTTCATCGACTGCGACGACCTCCACGACTTATCAAGGCTTTTCAGCTACGTGGGGCAGGACACTGCTTTATTTGCTGTTGAGGAACATAAGACATAAGGGTTGAGGGTTTAGGGTTCAACCGTAATAAGGCTACATTAGAGGTATATGGGGGGGGAGTATATATTATACCGGGTATACCATTTGGCATACTGGGGATATCTTGGGGTTCTAGAAAGAGTAAAGAACGGTAACTTAAGTTACCAGAAACGGGTGGAAGCCATAACTTTTAACACCGCGCGAGCCTCGGCCGGGGCCTGCCGCCACTGCGGCGGCGAGGCCCGGCGGGAGGCGGGCTTCCGGTAAGGCACAAAAGAAATTGCCACTTCGAACCTCCCCACCCTGTCCCTAAAAACCAATTGCAAGGATGTACATTCCGGTACCGTCCCTGGCTTGCCTATTCAAGGCAACGTCTCGGCACAGTTGACCGCCTTCTGCCCTGCCTATTGAGGCTCAGCTGGGCAACTGTACCAGTTGCCGTAACATGCAGACCAGGCAACTGTACCAGAATGTTGCCTTAACAAGCAGGCCAAGGAGGCTCTGGTCCAGGCGGGAAATTGTACCAGCAGGCCAGTGAAGCGCAGGTAGGCAACAGCATCGGAAGTTCGTTTTCATAAGCTGGGCAGGGGGGGTTAGGCGGGCAATTTTGCCGGAATGTTGCCGGAGTAGCCATTCGCTGTACTGCCTGCTGTACTGAGCACATCACGTCCGCATCACTCTTTCCTCAAAATGTAGCAGCCCATTTGTTGGATGGGGAAACAGGGTAGTGTGATTTAAGGAAATGTACAGGTGCTTGATTGGCGTGTTTGAGTTAATTACAGGTGCTTGCTTGGGGCAGTATTGGAGTTTCTGGGCAGCGGGGCGCCCTGGCCTGCTTTTTGCGCGTGGCCACATTCCGGTACAGATGCCTGCCTGGGCCTCCCTGGCCTGCTATTGCGTGTGGCCACATTCCGGTACAGTTGCTCACCTGAGCCTCCGTGGTATTGCGTGTGGCCACATGCTGTTTGAATTGCTCGCCTGAGCCTTTCTGTCCCTGCTATTGTGCGTGGCCACATTCCGGTAGAGCTCCTTGGCCTGCTTATTGCATCTGGCCACATTCTGGCACAGTTGCCCGCTGAGCCTCCCTTCCCTGCTCGTACTTAAGGGAACGTACTGCCTTCCGTCCTGAGAGTCGCGTGCGTCACCGCTTTGTCATTTGTCCTTAAAATCGAACAACCCCACTTTACGCAGTAGGGCTAGGTCTTTCGAGGGCAAGGAGGGGGGTGGGGAGGAGGGGGATGGCGGCGGGGCGAGGGGGTTTGGGGGGGGAGGGGGGGGGGGGGTTGTCAGAAACAAGCGTTGCCAAACAAGGGGCGCGGGGATTACTACATCTCCATATTTTGGACACTTAACGGAAGTTCCTTGACGCAGGATACTGAGACCTTCGTCATTCTTGGCACCGGCGGAATCTTTACGAGGAAGTTTTGTGTGGGCGAAATTGTCACTGCCCGTCGGGGCGGTGTACACACATTGCTATTGGGCTGGCCTAACTTGACAATGCCAACCGAAACCTTTGCTGAGAGCTACATTCACTCCGGTTTAGACATCGGTGAGTTGCGAGGTTGGCATTTTGGGATATTTTGTATTTGTTTTATTTGGGGCTACAAGGGTCCTCTATATACATATATCTATATCTATCTATCTATATATATATATATATTTATTTATTTATTTAATATCATATTATATATATACACATTTTTCACAGGGTTTACAGGGGCCAACCCAGGTTGGCAAAGGCCACGTTCGCAGACTTGGGCAAGGTTACCATGCTCCCGCTGCCGGATTGCATCACGCCGGAGAGCTTTCAAGGCCTTGTTACCAGATTGATCGGACACTGTCCTGGCCACAGTGAGGTGAGTGCAACCAGGTCCCTTTGCGAGGTCTCCTCTGCGTTCCCTGTGCTCGTAGACCCTCAAAATGCAGAGGCCATGGCATCCGCCATGGTGCTTGTGTTGCTTCTGCAAAAACCTTGGCTTGGCACTGACCTGCCAAAACCGTCGATCGTCATGGAAGGGTCCGATCTGGTGCAGTCGACACAGATTGCGCTGATGGTGTGCAGCGAGAACTGCTTTCAGTCCTCGCACATCCAGAGGTTGTTGCTGCAAGCCTGTCGCTTAGGTTCCTGCTGCATGATCCCAGTGATTGTGGAGGACCACTACCAGGCACCGTCAACTTCACAGATTTCTCTCTGCGATGGAGAACGGCATACTTCCGACACGGCAACTTTTTACAGCATGGTCATCCAGGCCGTGTTTGACCAGATTGCTGTGGTGTTTGTACCGCAGAACTACAGCTCCAGCCATGAAATTCTCCAGCTTCGTGCAAAACAAACGATGGAAAGGGTCACTTCACCGCTGACGACACTGCAAGAGAAGACGTTTGGTCTCTTGGGCCAGGCCCAGAGCAAGCCTCATGCCGGCTGTGTCGTTAATGAGGTCCACGAGGTTAACGAGCTTCGCGCAACCAGAGCTGAGGAGTTGACCCAAGTTTCCATGTGAACGCAGGGCATCCCGAATGGATTCTTTGATTTGGAGTCATGTCTCCTTGCTGCTCAGAGTTCGGCAGGGCAGCGCAAGGGGCGGCGAGCCTCTGCAAAACATGTGGAGGAGAGCTCTCCCTAAACCCTGATGCAAAATGTCGCCGCTACTAAGCGCCCACGACCCACGACGACTTGAGTTCGCGGTTGTTCTCCAAAGGAGCTCTTTTTTTTGAACCGTGCGAGTTGAAAGCTTTCAGAATGGAGAGCTACCTGCAAAAAAAGATGCTGCCGGCGGGAGAGGTGGGAAGCAGTTGCATATGCCCTTGTCAACACTTAGCAGGCGAGGTGCAAAGTCGAATGAAGATGCTGACCAAGCTGCAGTCACGAACCCAGGTTTAGGCTTTAGGGTTTAGGGTTTAGGGTTTAGAGTTTAGGGTTTAGGGTATAGGGTTTAGGGTTTAGGTACTGTTGGCTCTGGTCTCAAAAGAACCTCGAGGTTGCGCAAAAGCAGTAGTTTCGTGCAGGCACACGCTAGCAGAACATTGAGTGCATCCCCAAATCGCTCACATCGATCTCACACGCACCTGGACACCCTCGACCCAAAACTCGTAAACAAAGAACCCTTAACCCTAGACCCTAACTTCCTAAACAAATAACTTCCTAAACAAAAAGCCCTCAACCCCAATTTACTAAACAAAAGAACCTCAAAGCCTAAACCCGAAATTCCGAAACCACATGAGCCCTAAACCCTAAGTTCTTAAACAACAAAAGGGTTTAGGGTTTAGGGTTTAGGGTTTAGGGTTTAGGGTTTAGGGTTTAGGGTTTAGGGTTAGCTAAACGAGAAAAGACCTGAAACTTGGCTGGACAATGCACGAAACATGTGGACGCCCGTGGCGTCGACCCGGGCTGACCTACTTGGCTTCGTGCTCCCCGTCATCCTTGGGTTGCTCGTTGCCTCTTGGCCTGAAATTTTGAGTTTAGGGTTTCGGGGGTTTAGGGTTAGGGTTTAGGGTTTAGGGTTTAGGGTTTAGGGTTTAGGGTTTAGGGTTTAGGGTTTAGGGTTTAGGGTTTAGGGTTTTGGGGTTTGGGGTTTGGGGTTTGGGGTTTGGGGTTTGGGGTTTGGGGTTTGGGGTTTGGGGTTTAGGGTAATTTAGGGCTGAGGGTTTGGCAAGGAAGGAGCAGTTGTGGTTCCGTCATGCTGGAGCTTGAAGCGGTGCCGGAAATCGCTTGCTCAAGATAACCCTAAACCCTAAACCCTAAACCCATGGAAGGTTCAGATAACTTCGGCGGCTTCTGCGAAAGAAGAGCCCTTGATTTGGAAGTTCCTGCTGGAAATTCTTGTGGCTTCTTGTCGGCACTCTTCGTCTTCACCTTGCCACCTTTGGTGCTTCAGGCTACTAGACCACCTTGCTTTCACGAACCTGCCGTGAGGCCATATCATCCCTATTGCTGTCACCTCCCTGCTTTGATGATACGCCATTCTTCACATGACCGTCAAGATTCCTGGGGCCGACAGCTGTAGCACACTGTTGGGTTTAGGATTTCGGGTTTAGGTTCAGGGTTCAGGGGCGCAGGGTTCAGGGTTCAGGGTTTAGGGTTTAGGGTTTAAGGTTTAGGGTTTAGGGTTTAGGGTTTAGGGTAGCGTGGTATTGTGGCCCTACCAGTAGCAAACCAAGGATGTCGCGCACGTGTACGGAGCCTCGGCACAAATATCCGGCACCCCACTGCTCGCTGCAATGCCCAGCATTGACCTGGCGAGATGGGTTTAGGGTTTAGGGTTTAGGGTTTAGGGTTTAGGGACCGTACGACAGGCACAATCTGCCGAACCCTGCTGGATTCCGAGGCTGCTGCAGGGGCATGTCTCGGCATACCATGATTTGCATGAGGTATGCTCAGTTACCAGGAAGCTATTTCGAGTTGCTCGCAGTGCATCAAGACTAGGAGTCTGCTTGAAGGTGAGACATGTTTCGCAGAGCGCAGCTGCTGCGCGACCTCCATAGTCCATAGTTTTCTTTGAGTATCTCGTCCTAGCCCCCAAAGTTTGCTTTCTCTCTTGGTGATCCTGACAACTTTGGCTCGCAGCCGGTGTGGTTTGCGTCTGTTGGGATGCCTTGATCTGTTCCAACCTGAGCACCGAGTTTCACTTGCTCAACTTGCTGAACCCCAAAAACCCTGAAAGCCGCCAGAGGTTTTGTCAGACCGCTTGGTGGAGACGCCTGAATTTTGCCTTCAACCCTAAACCCTAAACCCTGATTTGCCAGGCCATTGCCCTGAATTGGCGCCTCTACTTGGCAGCAGTTCCAGGCTGGGGGTTGCTGACGTTGGCTACAGGGTTAGCTGAAGAAGAATGTTGAACCGATGTCGCAAGTTGATGTGTTAAATAACTATAAAAGTGTTGATGTGTTAAATAAATAAGCAAGTCTATATATATATATATGCTTGTATGTATTTGATTGTTTTTTGGTGTTTTTTCCGGAGGGGGGAGTGGGGGTCCTTGGGCAAATCCGAGTTTGCTGTGCAAAGTTGCCATGCCTTGAGAGTGAAACTTTGGAGGCCTTCTGGCCCCAACGCTCTTCATCAATGTGGCTGCCCTCTCAGAATGCTAAACCCTAAACCCTAAACCCTAAACCCCAAGCCCCAAACCCCAAACCCTAAACCCTAAACCCTAAACCCCCCCCCCCCCCCCCCAAAAAAAAAAAAAGAAATAAAAGATAAAAACTAAACTAAACCCTAAATGAAGTTTTCCGAAAATAGGGGTATCCTTTTCGGGGGTCCCTTTAAGGGGATTCTATTCTATTTAGGGGTATAAAAGGGAAATCCCCCCCTAAATCCTTAGCCATAAACGGGAGTGAGCGTGAAACCCCGAAGCCCTAAGCCCTAAACCCTCAGATGGGTACCCCATGGTGGTTCCTCTCAAGGATTTTGCGCCGAGGGCTTCTCTCCCTTGTGTGTGTCTGTGAAGACGCGCTTTGTCATGGAGTTTTCGGTTCAGATGGCGATGTTTCAGATGTTTTGATGAGTTTCTACGTGCCCACAAGCACAGTTACTGAGGCTCGTCGGACCTCCTAAAGCAGAACTTGCTGACAAAAACACGCATTTGAGCGATGTCGGGCGCTGGATTTGCAAAGTCCGGGCGACAGCCGAGCGGCACTTGTTCATGCGCAAAGTCTGAGATCCAAACAGAACCGCCATACTGCACTCCAAGTGCCGGCCAAATCCAAAGGTTTCTAAGTGCCTGACAACTTCCCTGAACCCCCCCTTCTCAAGCCCCAAACCAACCCCCATGGTGCGGCCCAGAACTGCTTCCGCCCCTAAACCCTAAATCCTAAACCCTAAACCCTAAGGCCTAAGGCCTAAACTCTAAACTCTAAACCCTAAAACCCTAAACCCTAAGCCAAAGGTCTTTGGTACTTGGCTGGGATGGAGTCTGCTGTCCTACTATGCCATGTTCCACTTCGCTGCTTGGAAGGGGAACATGTTTTCCCAGGAGGGACCTCATGGTCATGTGTGGAGTAGCGACGCCAAAAACGCTCAACTGGCCCTAAACCCTAAACCCTAGACCCTAAACCCTAAACCCCTAACCCCTAACCCCCTAACCCCCTAAATCCTAAACCACCTAAGGCCAAGCAGCCCTTCGGCGTGCTTTGCCTCTACAAAGCTCGGCAGAACGAGCGCGGCGCCTTCGACCACAGCTTGGACTACTGGACCTGCATGGCAGGCAGGAGGGTTTATTTAGGGCTTAGGGCTTAGGGCTTAGGGCTTGGGGTTTAGGGTTTAGGGTATAAGACTTCGGGCTTAGGGTTCAGGGTTGAGGGTTTTGGGTTTAGGGTTTAGGGTGTAGGGGAAAGTTTAGGGTCTAGGGCTCGCAGGGGAAGAAGCGGGTTTAGGGCAGGAGTCTGGGTTCAAAAAACGGTTTAGAGAAATTTGCGGTGTTCTTGCAACAATAGGAGCTTTCAATTCAGGTATATATATATATATATATTATATATGTATATGTATAACCAGGATTTGTTTTGCTCGCTGGTGCCCTAGCTTAAGTTCCTGTTGGTTCCCTTTTTTGAGGTCTGTCGGCTCCACGTTAGAGGGTTCTTAAGGGAGGGGGGTTCAAAGGCGGGTAGGTGTTTGGGGAACCTTAGAAAAGCTTCGGGAGTCTCAGGGCCTTAGGGAGCAGTGGGGAGTATTCGAGAGCCTTGGGTTATATACTCCCCTTGAACCCCCTTCCCTTAAGAACCCCATACACCCTAAACCTTAAACCCTAAACCTAAGCCCTAAACCCTAAGCCTAAACCCTAAACCCTAAACCCTAAACCCTAAACCCTAAACCCTAAACCCTAACCCTATAAGAATGTGCAGGTGCGGGCTGCCCCCTCTTGCTATGGCACGCCGGGGCATTTGAAGGCTTTTCTTGGTTCGGCGCAGACGAGGTGAAGTTCCTTGGACAAAAACTCACCCCCCCCCCATTCCGAAAGTCCATAGATTGCCGAAGTCATGACTCAGTCATCGTTACAAAAGTTTAGGGTTTAGGGTTTACGGTTTAGGGTTTAGGGGGTTTAGGGTTTAGGGTTTAAATTGCACTGAAGTTTTTGGGGCTTAGGGTCTTGGGTTTAGGGTAGTGCCCAGGCTCGTCGAGCTGCCTACAGCGCTGCAGCCAATACTCTGGCTTCTCTATGCAGCACTGCCAGGCCAAGCCGTTCGTCACGAGCTTCACATTCCGTGCTGGGGAGACACGAAAACTCGTATCTCCCCAAACCCTAATTTTAGATTTAAACCCTAACAAAACCCTAAACCCTAAACCGTGATCAAGCTGGTGTATCAGGAAGCTGCATGTTCGGCCATTGGACCCTGCACCGGCCCAACGTTTTAGGGGCTTAGCATGAATGGATGGGTTTCGGCTGTCATTCCTACTGTTCGGATCACTGTTGGCCTTGGTTTCTTTGGACCTGAACAGAGTGTCCAGTTGTGGTGGCCGCATTTCGGCCTTGCCTGTGTCCCTGCAGAGTGGCGTCAGAAGGCTTGAGCATGCGACAGCTAGGCGGCACAGCACCTACTTGGTAGCCCAGTGGTGCCCTTTACCCTTTTTTTGGTTCAAGGTTCCCTTATACAGTAACCAAGCATGCCCTCATTGCACTATGGTTACTGGGCTACCAAGGTTAGGGTTTGGAACCCTAAACCCTAAACCCCAAATCCCCAAAACCCCAAAACTCCTAAACTCCTAAACCCCAACACCCCAAAACCCCTAAACCCCAAAACCCCAAAACCCCAAAACACCTAAACCCCAAAACCCCTAAGCCCCTAAGCCCCTAAACCCCTAAACCCCAACACCCCAAAACCCCTAAACCCCAACACCCCAAAACCCCTAAACCCCAAAACCCCAAAACCCCTAAGCCCCTAAACCCCTAAACCCCAACACCCCAAAACCCCTAAACCCCAACACCCCAAAACCCCTAAACCCCAAAACCCCAAAACCCCTAAACCCCAAAACCCCTAAGCCCCTAAACCCCTAAACCCCAAAACCCCTAAACCCCCAAAACCCCTAAACCCCCAAAACCCCTAAACCCCAAAAACCCTAAACCCCAAAACCCAAACCCCAAACCCCTAAACCCCTAACCCCTAAGCCCAAAACCCCAAAACCCAAAACCCCAAAAACCCCAAACCCTAAAACCCCTAAACCCCTAAACCCCTCAACCCTAAGCCCCTAAGCCCCTAAACCCCTAAACCCCAAAACCCCTAAACCCCCAAACCCCAAACCCTAAACCCCAAAACCCCAAAACCCCAAAACCCCCAAAACCCCAAAACCCCTAAGCCCCTAAGCCCCTAAACCCCTAAACCCCAAAACCCCTAAACCCCCAAAACCCCAAAACCCCCAAACCCCTAAACCCCTTAACCCCAAACCCCCTAAACCCCCAAAACCCCAAAACCCCCTAAGCCCCTAAGCCCCTAAGCCCCTAAGCCCCTAAACCCTAAACCCCATTCGGCGAGGCTTCTGGCTCGCGCGCACGGCGTGGAAGTGGCTGCAGTCCGGGCAGCTGCAGCTTGGCGGCAGCGCTTGCCCAAATGGTCCGTTTATATATACCTATATGTATATATATATATATACATAGGCTACCTATGTATATATATATATGTAGTAGATACTTGGGCCTTAAAGGGGTTCCTTGGTAGTAGCTTTAGGGGTCAAGTCTGCCGAGCCTGTTCCGCTAGACGAGCGCGCGAATCGCAGGATACGCAAGTCCGATTGGACTTGAGGCTTTTTTGGGAGACAGGTCTGCTGAAATTAGTAGTTAACTAGTTTGATGAGCACTCTCTCCCTCAAGGAAGTTTGACTTGGGACGCAGTCTGTACCGTTAAAAGCCAAGAAGTGACAGCCCTCGCATGAAAGCTGTCACGCTACTGCTCTCTGCAGGATCACCGTGCCACATCATGCCCTTATGCTTGCACACTCATCCGTGAGCCCTTAACCCTAAACCCTAAACCCTAACCCTAAACCCTAAACCCTAAACCCTATGCCACAGCTAAAGGGTTCAGATGTGCACATCATGAGAGCAGGCTTCGAAATGAAGGCCCCTCTGGAGCATTCCACTGTTGAGAACTTAGAAGTGAACATTCATCGGACAGGAAGGCTTCCTTGTAAACCCTATGAATTTTGCGTGGTGGTGCTGACATCGGATGACCAAGGAACTTGGGAAAGCTCTGGATCATGGCGCCTTGGACTTGTAAGAGAGCCTGATGTGCGGCGTGAGTCTGAGCCCTAAGGTGGCCATTTATTCGACCTGGTACATGGGCATGGGTGATCATCACGTACGCTCAATGGCCTTCATAAATCTCTTCCATGGCATCTCTTCGGGTGGCTCGGATGTGAAGTCCGTACGCATCCTGCTTTGCAGCACTTGCTTGGAATGAAACATGCAACATGCAGTCACATGCAGATCGGCTTCAGAACAGGTGGGCAGGGTGAGGTATCGGAGAAGCACTATAGAAAACCCGAACATGGTGAGGGTAACAAAATCTAGGCTAGGGAGATTCCTTACCCGAGATAACTTCGATAGCTCATAAAACTTTCTCAGTGGTGCTTGTCAGGCCTCTTGGTGTACCATGCCCCTCGCCTGCAAATGGGGGGTTACGATAACAAAGGACCCCTAAGATAGAACCCTGAATAGTAGGATCCACTTATCAAAAAGGACCCCAATAAGGTAGCCCTGCTATCGTGAATTTCCTGAATGGATAAGATCCAGTACATCGCATCCAGGTCATCTTCTGAACCCTAAACCCTAGACCCTAGACCCTAAACCCTAAACCCTAACAGCTTTCGGAGCGCTGGCAAGCCAACTTCAGTGAGCTCAGGTGGTGCAGTGCCGGTACCGCTTGTGGGAGAAGAGAGCTCCAGGAACGATGACATCCTGGGCAACTTGACCAATGTTGTGTCGTTTTCATACTGAACTTTGCACCTGCTCCGGGTTATCCGCAGTCATGAACCGACTTCACCGAAAGGATGCTCTTCCACATCACAGCAGGATTGCCATGAGACTCAGGATCACCTCAACTTCTTCCTTGTGTCCACTCCTGTTGCATATGTTAGTCACTTGACTGGTACCAGCACTTGTGCATAATGCCTGCTGCTGGCATGTCAGTGCTGGCATATCAGTGCTGCGCAGTCGTCAGTGAGTATATGCCATGCTATGCACCCTACACCCTCGAGCCTGAACCCTATACTTGTCCTGCTGAGTCGTTCGTCCAGCTTTGCGGGTGGCACAATAAACCCAAACCCCCCAACAGTGGGGACCCTAAACCCTAAACCCAAAAACCCTCAACCCCCTAAACCCTAAACCCTAAACCCTAAACCCTAAACCCTAAACCCTAAACCCTAAACCCTAAACCCAACAGTTGGGACCCAGGCTTCCTTGCCGGACTTGCTCTCTGCGAGGATCTGGCCTGGGACATCCTGATCAACCAGGACCCCGGTAGGTTGATCATGGGTTTCCCCTACTACCCCCCCGCTATACTACTCTTAGGGTTTTGGGTTTAGGGTTTAGGGTTTAGGGCTACTACCCCCCTCTATACTACCCCCCCTGGGTTCCCCCCTTAAAAAATAACCTGAGTTAGGCTGAAGTCTCCCTAAAAGGCACCGAGGGGTGGTTTAGAGGGGGGGGTTTAGGGTTTAGGGTTTAGGGTTTAGGGTACAGTTGAACTTGAGAGAATGGAAGACTCAAGATCGACCGTCGATTGAATCCCATGAGTAAATGGCCGCATTCCTGGAGACTCCAATACCCCTTAATTCAGGAGTCTTCCTTAAAGTATTAAGCGGGTTCCATATATTATTGGTTCAAGGAATATCCCTGAATATAGGTGTACTGGAGTCGCTGGGTTTTAGCACAGGAGTATGTCCACTATCTTGGCATTCATGCACTCCCGTTGCAAAGCTGGAAGCGGAGCGTCGCTGTCAGTGTGCTGATGCTCCCGCAGCTGGCTCACTACTTCCTTGACGGCTTCATCTGGAAGATGAGTCTGAGACTTACATGTTCCCCCCCTGTTCTTAATAGGGAATACCCTTTAAGGGATCATATGGGGTACCTCATTCCCTCAGTCCCTACTAAGAACCAGCCAGTGTTTAAGGGGGCTTAAGTCATATGCGAGGCTTCATGTCAAGGATGTGTGTCTTGCTTCCTTTGGGCGTGGGTGCTCTTGAGGTCCGCAGAACCCTGGCTTACGGGAGGCTGTCATGGCGATGGGAAAGACTGATGCGCTGAAGTCGTGAGGCTGCCCAGATATTGCAGAATGTGCAGGGAGAAGAGTTGGCTTGGGGTGTTGAAGCTCGTGGACGCAGACTGCTGGAGAACTCCGCCAAGCCCCATCACCTGCTCAGCCTGTGGTTGCCTCCGACATGGAGAACGATAGGAGAATCAGAGTGAGGCATGTCCAGGAGGTTCAGGCTTGCTGGACCAAGTTGCCGTGCAACTTCTGCGCCGACAGTTTGCCAGACATCGAGCACCCACGACCGCGGATCGAAAGTGACACCTCTCTGTCTCTGTGTGTGGGGTACCACACTCCCATCTCAACATCCATACTCGTAGCACAACACAATCATGAGAAGACTTGATTAGCATGGACTGGACCGCCCTTGGTTCTGAAACACTCATGTATGTGTCCACAGTAGCACTTGTTTTGCTCGCAAACGCTGTGAGAAGCCACGAGGCTGGACCAAGGTTGCTTGCTTGGTTCTCACAAGACACACATATGTGCCTCTCTGTTTTCACACCGACTGGGAAGCGCAAACTCTAGGCACGTGACATCGGAATTTTTTGGGGGGCGTCAACCAGATGCCGCGCTTGCTACTCCAAGAAGCCATGTTCATAAGTTACTCATAAGTTCTCGGATCTTGGCGCTCGTGCCAGGGCAGTTGGCAGGTGGTAGAGAAGTAGCATTCCGGCGCCGCTTTTGCAACCACTGAACTTCGAAACCTCGTGTCCCCGGAAGACCCTAAACCCCTAACCCTAAACCCCTTTAGAGCACGACTTCACCTTGCTTTCCGAAGACCGGATATGCCCCGTCAAAGCCTTGGCTTCCAGGGACCGCCAATTGTTTTTTGCCATAGGTTCCCCCAGCTGCCATGCCGGTGCGGGTCTTTGTGCAAGCCCTCTCCTGGTCCAGTAACTTGGGCCCAAATGGTACCCCCTTCCCTTCTGTTTGGCTCTGGGTTCCCTTGTAAAGTAGTTTAGGGCTTGGTCAAAAGGGTAAGAAGGGTAAACAGGGTGCCCTTAGTCTAGTACGGTTGCTAGACGACCAAGGTAAAGAGTCCCAGCCCGATGATGTGGAGTCTGCAAAGGCTTCCTGCTGCCCAAAGCTTGAGAACGTCTTGAAGCAGACCACGTCATTTCACTCCGCGCACCAGAAGTTTTTCGTTCGCCTGTCCCTCGCCTGTTCCGTGGCCTTCTGGGTTGCGCTGTTCAGCATTCCCTTGTACTTCGCGGGTCCCTACTACGACTTTTTCGGAAGTCGCGGCGACGCGCTGTTTCATGAAACGCGGCACTTTCACCGCCAGGAGGTTGCATGCGAGGCCAGCATGGTGGGAAGGATGGAAAACATTGGGAACCACACAGACCCTCAGTAGTAGAGTAGCTAACCTTTAACCTTTTTGGGTTAATACCCCTTATACTCCCAAAGGTTAACCTTTAAAACCCCTAGGTACTGGACAACTAAGGACCCACATTACGTGCCGTGGACTGGGGCCACACCCTGGCCCAAGCACGAGAAGGTCAGGAACAAGTACATTTGGTGCGGCTTCTTGCCAGCCCTGTGGCAAGACTACTGGCCGAACATTGCGCAGTTCATCGTCTTCACCGTCTACGCCAGTACGGGGGACACGATTCGACTGGCTTGGCAGGGCCTTGTTGGGACGTTCTGTGCTTGCATTAACCTGGAGCCACTGGGCAGGCAAATCATTAGAATCATTACGGCCGAGGTTTGTCATCGGAAATCTGTTTTTTTTCAGCCAGGGCTGCGGAATTTCTCAAAACCCTGGTCTGAGCGAGACCCTTAAATGTATTTCTTGACGGTGCCATTTTTTGGAGCTTTTTGGGCGCGAAAGCTCGAAAATGAGGTTTGGGGGATTTTGGATGGTTCTGGGCCGCGAAGGCTCGAAATGGCCACCCTTAAGGCCTACGGGGGCGGGTTGTGGGGGGGGGGGGGGGGTGGGTGGGGGTTGTGGGGGGGAGGGGGGCGGGGGTGTTCTTAACAGTGCCATTTTTGGAGTTTTGGGGGCCACGAAGCCGCGAAAACTCGCACCGTTACAGGGAGGGGGTTGGTTCAGCCCTGGCAGGCTTTAGGTTGAGACTAGGGGCCGAAAGGCTTAAGGACCCTAAACCCTAAACCCTAAACCTTAAGGGTTTAGAGGGTTTGAGGCTTTCAGCTTCTTGTGGGTTCGTGCTTCGGTAGGCGACCGGGGATTTTGATAGCTCAGAGCAATACTTCGGGTGAACAAACTGGGCGAGACCCTGGATTTTCAAATGTAAGCCGGGTCCAGACTCTAGTTGCTTAATTGATCGAATCTCTTATCACGCCCCCAAGCCCTAAACCGCCCAGCCCCTTCTAGCCCCAAACCCTAAACCCTAAACCCTAAATTTGGGAAACAGCTGACAACCCAGGGATTGCCAACGGTACCCTGGGCCACTAGCGTAGACCCTCAGGGCCCAATTGTGCCTTAAAAGGGTTTTCAAGTCTTCAGAAGTAGGATCTCCTCCTCGTTCTCACTTGTGCTAGCAGTATCGGAGCTAGATAGAAGGGATGCGGATTCAGTTGCGCAAAGTTCCCAGATTCCTCCAAGTCCTCCAACTCCCAGGTTCATGACTTTCCTCTATCCTGGCGGGGCGGCCGGGGCGGTCTGCGAGTCAGCTGACTGCACGCCGCAGCCCTACAACCAGGTGGTCGCGTGGATCGACGTGATCTTGATCCTCTTCCTGTTCCTATACCCCCCCTTTTGGGAATTCTTTTCTTTATTTTTGTTTATGTAAAACCCAAGAGGATATTTAAACAATATTGTTTCTTTTTAAGGTTCTAAGGGGGAGTATAGGTTCTTGTTCTCGCGCGCCAACGAAAACACCATCAAGTTCGGAATGTCATGGCACGTCTTCTTCATGATGGACTTCATGAATCCTACGAAGTTGCTTGGCTTCTGTCTAGCACACTGTTGCGGATGCCTGTGGAAGCAGCACCGTCAAGCTACCAGAGACTACCGTGTCCGTGTTCCACAGCGGAGGCGCCAAATAGGTGGCAGCCATCTTGCACCCATCGCACTTAAGTTCAAGTAAACCATAGTCAGAATTTCATAATCATTATCCTAATCATCCTAGTTATCCTTTTCATCGATCAAGGCCATCCTGATCATCCTCAGATCATCCTAACCAACTCACCCGAAGCATGCTGACCATCCTCGTCACCAGAAGAAACCCAAAGAATCCCACGAATCTCAAGACAACAACCCCAAGAATCCCAACAAATGTGGCAAAAACTCAATCCATGAAATCCGAAGAAACCTTATCATCGTCATAATCCTGAACTTGTAGCCGATACTTATAGCCCTAAAAACCCTCATAACCGCAATCATACGAGTAATCCTAATCATCCTAAATCCCAATAATCCCCGCAATCCTAATATCTGAAAAAAATTTAATGATCCTGGTACAAGCCGAACAATCCGAATAACCTTGATCCTCCTAATAATCTCAGGAACCCTAGTATTGATAGTCCTTACGAAACCCTGAACCCCTGCAATCAGAATGCCCATAAGAACCTTCATGCTAAGAATCATGACCTTGATTGGCATCCTCTGCCATAACTTCTGCAGGGCCTTGAGGCTCTGCGCTTGCATTGTGCTCATCTGGGGTTTGCAATAATAAGGGACCCCTTATTATAGACCCCCAAATAGTAGGATCCCCTGAGAATAAGGACCCCAAAAAGGTACCCCCATGCCTTGGCAGCTCCTTAGGCCCTAATCCCAGCCTCACAGCTCTTGGGTACGAAGCTAGGTCTCCCGCGCTTCTTGCCAACCTTTCGTAAGTTTTGAGCCCTTTGATCCCTCCTGCCCTGAGCATTTAACAACCTAGAGGGAGGAGGGGCCAACACCTTACTGTTGGTTAGTAGGGAACGAGGGAATGAGGTAACCTATATAATCCCTTAATGTACATATATACATCATATATAGGGAGGGACTATATAAGGGTACTTCATTCCCCCATTCTCTTCGAACCAACAGTAAGACCCAGGAAGATGCCGGTAGGCCTCATGGGGGACCTCACGGGCATCACCCTCTGGAGGAACGACGCCCGGCACTGATGTTTATGTTGAGCGCTTCAACTTGGCAGGGTTCCTCCAAGACGGTATAGCCCTTTGAACCACATAAGCCCTAAACGCCCTATAAACCCGTAAAAACCCCAAACCCTAAACCCTGTAAACCCTAAAAACCCCAAACCCTAAACCCTATAAACCCTAAAAGCCCTAAACCCTAAACCCTATAAACTATAAATCCTAAACCCTAAAGCCCTCAGAGATCGCTGAGTTTGGGAAGCCTAGGACTTGACCGCGGATGTCTTTCTCACCTCCGTGGTGGGCGCAGTGGTCTCCATCCTGGCCACCATCGTTCCGAGGTGGGGGGGGGGGGGGCTCTTGACCCTAAACCCTAAACCCTAAACCCTAAACCCTAAACCCTGCTGCGCAAGGATGACACGCACAAATCGAGAAGTGCACCAAAAAAACCCTCAACCTTGTAAGTTGTACATCCCCTTTTTGGATTACTTTCGGTGCAGGGTTTAGGGTTTTCAGACTTAGGGTCCCCTATGAGATCCGGACTATGCCATTTATTCCTTATAGTCTGGGGTGGTGCAGAATTTCGAACTAAACCCTGCACCCTAAAGCCTAGGCAGGTGGCAAACAAAAAATCCTAAACCCCTAAACCAGAACTTGGAACAGCCCTCAGGTGCTTCTTCTGTGTGGCCCTCACCCTAACCCCTAAACCCTAAACCCTAAACCCTAAACCCTAAACCCTAAACCCTAAACCCTAAACCCTAAACCCTAAACCCTAAACCTTCAGGTGCTTCTTCTGTGTACCCTAAACCCTTAACCCTAAACCCTCAGGTGCTTCTTCTGTGTGCCCCCTTTGGCGAACCGCGTTTGGGTGCCGCCGAACGCCTTGGACTGCGCGCAAAGGCTCGGATCCATCTGGGAGGAGAGCGTGGAGCACCGAGCTTAGAGAGCTGGGTTTAGGGTTTAGGGTTTAGGGTTTAGGGTTTAGGGTTTAGGGTTCAGGGTTCAGGGTTCAGGGTTCAGGGTTCAGGGTTTAGGGTGGCCTAGCGTCTGTAGCGCAGTCGTGTTTCCTTCAAGTCATGCTGCAACAAAGATCTTGGCATTACGGTCTAACTAGTTTCGGAGTACGGTATACTGTACCTTGCTATCAGATGCTAGACTATAGCATTTCTATATTATACAAGACTGTGACTCGAGTAGAGTGGATCTAGTGTCCGCAAAGTTGACCTTCAGAAGCACTTCGAAAGCAGCTCGCACGAAGTTTGCGAGCTCTTTTCGAGGAACAGAACACCGGAAGCATCCCTGGACCATACCATGCTGTGCTTTAGTACACTATAGGGTTTAGGGTTTAGGGTTTAGGGTGTAGGAGGCAGTTCCCATCTGACATCAGTGTGTGATGGATTGAGGTACATGCTGGGAAGCAAAGCGAGCGCTAAGAAGTTCCGGCTGGAGAAGAAGGTGCAGCACCGAGTGAGTCTTCGAGTATACATACTGGACCAAACATTTGTTACCGGTGTATGTAAAACCAAAACCTGAACCCTAGTTGATCCTACTACTGCGTCCGGTAGGACCCCTCCCGACTGACCTGTATTGCACATGTTGGTAGGCTTCTCAGGCTACCCGCACAAAGTGTACCCTAAGCAGCAACATCCCCGAGATGGTTTTGAGGTTTAGGGTTTACCCTCGTGCTGCCGAGATCGACGATGTGCGATGCAAGCTGACCGACACGAGGAGCCAGGCACCTGCTTGCTACCACAGGTCAATCCTTCGGTACCTGAAAGAAACCAGAACATACTCGATTCAGGTTATCAACATATCCTTCTTCCTTCCTTTTTTGCCACTACTACTTCCATTGCCACCACCGCTGCTCCTGCTCCTCCTCCTCCTCCTCCTCATCCTCCTCCTATTGCTACTACTGCTGCTACGACGACGACCACCACTACCACCACCACCACCACCACCACCACCACCACCACCACCCTAAACTTAAGTACTGCCACTACGATGTGGACGACGTTTCTCAACCCCTGCCTCCACGCTCTTCGCCAGGTTCAGTGCGCCTGGTGGGAGACTTGGCAGTGCGGAAGGCCCGAGCAGGCCTGGCTCGTAAGGAAGGGTGGGTTTAGGGTTTAGGGTTTAGGGTTTAGGGTTTAGGGTTTAGGGTTTAGGGTTTAGGGTTTAGGGTTTAGGGTTTAGGGTTTAGGCTAGCTGCAGGGAGTAGAGCAGGAGGAGGGAGGAGGAGGACGACAACTACCAAACCCGTGCCATAAACGCCCTAAACCCAAAAAGGTCCGAGAAACCATAACCCCTAAACCCTAAACTCTAAACCGTAAACCCTAAACCGCTTTTCCCAGGTCCGGCTGAAGCTCCACGCTTTCCTCTCAGGTGCCAGAGGGACTCCGTGGAGCCTTGCGTGTTACTGTTGAAGTGCTGTGCCACGTACTAAATACCAGGTTTAACGCATATGTAGAGTCGAGATTGTAGTATGGATTAGATCGTGCACAAGATCGCAGAATTTGTGTATATACATATATGTAGATATATATATATACATATAAATACAAAAATCTGCATGCAAACAGTGTAGGGTAATTCATCCTTAGGGTGTGGGTGTCAAGCCCTTGGCACGTATGAGAAGCGTATAGGTCATCCGTCTACGAGAGAGCACATCCTATTTGCACTGTGTGGTGCAGTAGACTCAATATCGAAGTGTAGCATAGAGCAACGAAGACTATGCTATGCGTAGATTTTCTGTGTAGCATGGCAGGCTTTCAAAAGTCGTCCCACACACGATACAGCTTGCAGGTGCCGACGAGGTGCAACGCATCATGTACAGCTTGGTCAACTGTATCCACTCCGAAGATTTCAGCGGCCAGGCTGAAACCCTAAACCCCAAACCCTAAACCCTGAACCCGAAAACTCATCTGCTGGGCGGGTGGCAAAAACAGAAACCTGAGTTTTTTTAATGGACCATCGGGAGGGAGGTTCAACTCAACCCCGGGAGCCTGCAGCCCAAAAGTCGCTCGTGGTCTCTTGTAGAAAATTGCGAGTAGTCTCCTGGGCTTAGGGTTTAGGGTTCAGGGTTTAATTTAGGGTTTAGGGTTGTAGAAAATTGCGAGCAGTCTCCTGGGCTTAGGGTTTACGGTTCAGGGTTCAGGGTTTAGGGTTTTGGGATTTTGCAGCAGTTAATTCACAGGCTGAAAGGCTGCTCGACGCTTCTCTCCACGTTTCACTAGACGCGTCACCGCTTCACCGCTTCAGGCTGCCCATGTTTTGTTTCGAATCTGAGCAGAACCTTGACGGAATCTTGAGGCATACATAGGCATGGGCTATATGTTCGGTCCTGCGAAGCCCTGAGACCTCTTAGGTGGACAGCACCGCGCGTTCTGTGGCAAACTGGCTGAGTGCATCCACAAGCTGCACAGCACAGCAAGCGACTTGACCTGTCTTGGTGCACGTGTCAGTTGGGTCCGGAGTGTGGGGCGCAGTGGGCAGCATCTGACCAGCATTCTGGTAAGGGCTGACTCGGTCTAGGTTTCGTTGTTCCTGGGTTCATGGTTCTTGGAGTCATGGCTTGCAGCATTTCTTCTTAACAGCCAGACTGTTCTGTGTTTCCCTGGAAGATTGCCTGAGAATGCCAGAGGCGAACTTACAATCGCCTGTGCGAAAGCTGCTGTTGATGGCACGATCACCGATCAGGAGGCAGGATGCTTGCTGGGCTGTGCTGTGGCAAACATTTGACCACATCATCCTGCCACAAACAGCTGTGCTACAAAACGGAAATCGCAGAACACAGGGAGCATCGGGGGCCATAAGCAGCACAACAGCCGGGTAGTAGCTAGGACCTCTACGGACCTTGCGGACGCTTGGTCTTATCAAAGAGGCCAACTTGTTGCCAAGATATGAGTCTTGATGATAGCCCAGCCGTCTCTGCATCAGCTTCTACTGTCACGCGCCAGCAGGCCTTCCTGCGCATCTCAAGCTGCAGAGAGCGCGCAACTGGTAGCTAACTGTTCGAACGACTCCTGCGGAGGAGAGCGAGATCCGAAGGATTGCCGAGGCCGCCGGGCTGGTCTGCACATGGGTCATTAAAGTGATGGTGTACCCCAGTTCTTGCTTCTGCTGCTGCTACGCTGCTACAGCCGTTGTCTAGAGCTGCCATTGCTGCTGGCAGCATGCCCGGGCAGGATGCTGCGTCCTGCCAGACGGAGCTTGTGAAGCGGTACCGCCACGTGGCGTCGTCAGGGATCCCTGCCAACTTGGCGGAGGAAGTTTCTTGGACCCTTCATAGGGAAAGCACGCACTTCTCCTCCAGTACTGTACGATCTTCTTCTGCTGCCTATAGCGCTAATGCCATGCTGCTACAGCCTCTGCTACCGCTTTACGCCTTGTACGCCAATGGCCCCGAGGTCACCTTCCTGTTCTCTCTTTCTTTCTGGACTGCGACCGCCCAAGACTTGCTGGGTTTCCTTTCGACGCCGGAGTCACGATTGCGCTGGCGCACCATCGTTTGGGACGGCTTAATGGATACCTGGGGCAAGAAGGCGGGGCGTGTTGGGGCAAATCGGCATGTATGTATGTATATACATATACATATATACACAAAAATGTGTTCGCGGCGTTTGTTTTTGTTTTTTTGATGGTGGTCTCTGGCCAAGACTCTCTAAGAGGCGTATGAGGTAAAACATTGATGAGGTGCCCCTTTGGCCTTCGGAACACGAGTAGGGGAGCTAGATAGTTCCTTCGCTGAAACCCTGGTATTCTGTGATATTTTGCTGAAATCCATTCCTCAACCTTTTTATTGGAAAGCTGTAGGGTTGTCGGGCGTAGACTGTAGGGATGAGGGATTTGGAAATTTATTTTCGCCAAAGCTCTTGGAAACATTGGCGAGTTGTTTGCGATTAGCTTGCCCGAAAACCGGGAAAAACATAGCTTTTTCTAGTTTTTTCTAGCTTTTTCTAGCTTTGGGGCCCCGGGGGCTTGCCCGAAAACCGGGAAAAACATAGCTTTTTCTAGCTTTTGCTAGTTTTTTCTAGCTTTTGCTAGCTTTTTCTAGCTGTTGCTAGCCTTGCCTAGCCTCCTCTAGCCTTGCGTGGCAGCGTAGCAGATCGGGGCCCGATTCCAGGAAGGATTTAGCGAGCCGGGGTCTGAAGACAGGAATGTCGTAGCAAGGTGGATGGCCAGCAAAAAAAGTCAAAGTCCACTTCTGATTGCCAGGAATCAGTTTTGTATGAATGCGTAGACTTTAAAGCCGATGCCAGTAAGAAACACCCAAACCTCAGGCGCCGACAGGTACAATTTCAGATTAGATTTGATGGAAAATGCAAGCTGTAGTTTCCTGTCGGCATCTTCTGTACAGGCCCTTCAAAGGCATGCTTCACCCCAGGAAATTCGTAGCTTATCTTAGCTTATCTTAGCTTATCTTAGCTTCTCCTAGCTTTGCCTAGCTTTCTCAGGTTTCCTTCAGTTTGCAGTGGAACGCTTTGGAATTCTAGATTTTTCCGGTAATCCAAGGACGAGCCTGATCATTGTTTTACCTCATGTGTTCTTATGAAAGACTAAGGTGCGAGAACGCGAACATCTCAAGTTTGCCCTGCGGAATCTTATTCCAATCTCCACCTGCTTCATTCTCGGCTACGCAATCCCATCAACCTGCATTTTTGTGCAGTACTCCGCCACCATGGCCAACACCTTGGCGTGCCCAAGCTGTTCATAATGACATCAAGAATCATATTGCTAACAACCATACTAGTAAACAACCACTTTATAATCATGAAAGCAGACTTGTAAATTAGAGTACCAACATCCTTTCAAGAAGAATAAAGGCAATCTCAGTTTTGACCATATTAGCAGTCAAGAACCTTAGATAGCCGCTGTGGGTAAGACCGGGATTTCAGTCATACCCTAAACCCCAAACCCTAAACCCGACTTTATTTCAGCCGCCAAGTGTCTCGCTTCGTGAAAGTCCGCATGACCGATTGCAGAAACCCTAAACCCGAAGCCCCTTGCAACTGACCCAGGATTTGGGGGCTCGGACTCTGATTTCAGAGCCGCAAGTCATCGCACTGAGGCTCCTGATCACGCGTTTCTCGAGCTCGGCCGTCCAGAAGAACTTCCACAGGAACCAGGGACCAGTGCCCTTACACCCTAAGCGGTTTAGGGTCTAGGGTTTGGGGGTTTAAGGTTTGGGGTTTAGGGTTTAGGGTTTGGGGTTTAGGGTTTAGGGTTTGGGGGTTTGCAGGAACCCTTTGATTCTGGACCTGCCATGCTCAACCTGAGCTGCCAGTCACCAGCCACATTTTTTTTGGGAAAGAAGCCCTTTCCAACTTTAAAAGCCTTACACATCTTGACATGTTGTTTAATATGCCGTTATAAGAATGTTTGATTACATACGATTAGCATAAATATACAAATATGCGTGTACATATATTATTTACTTCGTTGAACACAGAGTGTGGTATGGCCCGCCTCGGCCCGGATTCGGAGTGGCCCCAGGAAGAACCCCAAAACCAACAGCCACGAGAAAGGGCGTGCTGGTGAGCGATTGGAAGAGGAGAAACAGGGTCCCTGTGGGAACCTTTGACTACATGTCTTCATGCAGGACGCTGGGCGTCCTCCTGGGCAAGTTCTTGCCGATTCTTTTCAAAGCCACATGGACGGCTTTCCCCTGCCAGCAGATGCCTCAGTGAGACGCAATTTGGACCCTAACCCGGAACCCTGAACCCTAAACCCTAAGCCCTGAACCACAGCTTCTGTCAGCTTCTAGGAGGGAAGTTAGCTCTCTCAGACTGACATCCTATGCTAAAGGGATGTGGGGGGGGGGGGGGGGGGCTTGTTTGTTTTAGGGTTTAGGGTTTAGGGTTTAGGGTTCTCAGTTGTAAGCCATTTTTCTTGCCACCCTAAACTTGACACGGCAATAGGGACCCCCCAAGAAAAGGAACCAAGCATAATTTCGGCCTTATAGGGATTAGGGATTAGGGTTTCGAACAATGTACTTTCAGGACTAGGCTTAGGCCTCGGTGAAGCTCTGATTCTGGTTGGCACAGGGCTGCCCAGCTGTTCTTTGGCGCTGCCATTAGGGTTTAGGGTTTAGGGTTTAGGGTTATTTAAGGGCTTTCCTCGTCTGGAGGTCCACGGAGCGCGGGATCCTGCAACTCGTGTCGCTGTTCATCTTCGTGAGCGTGTGGAGCCACTTACTTCTCCAACAGCTGAACTTTGTAAACTTTTAGGGTTTACGGTTTACTTGTCTAGTATAGGAAACCCTAAACCCTAAACCCTAAAGTTTTCCCCTAGGTTCTTGGAGACGTAAGGCTACGTGTACTTCAGCTCCAAGATGTGGAGCACGGTCGCAGTTCTCGTGGGCGGCTACGGCGTGTATCCGCTCATGGTTCCCTGCGATGACCTCAGCGAGGTGCGCCCCCCCCCCCCCCCCCCTCCCCCAAAACCCTAAACCCTAAACCCTAAGCCCTAAACCCTAAACCCTAAACCCTAGGGTGCACTTGTTATTTCAGAAGAAATTGCAGATGCGGCGGTCACTCTAGTCCCTGTTGTTTTTTTTGCTTTCGTAAGGCGAAGTGTCTTTTGAAGCGCAGGACAGCTACTATGTTGGACTGTACAAGGAGCTCGGACAGGTGACTGTGGCCATCGTGCTCCAGTTTCTCTGCTGAGGGTTTAGGGTTTAGGGTTTAGGGTTTAGGGTTTAGGGTTTAGGGTTTAGGGTTTAGGGGGCCGTGGCATCTGCAAGTGTGTTGTGCTCTCTTCCTCTATCTTCTTCTTGTTTCGTTCGCTGTGCCAGGCTACCCCCAAACCTTGAGATGTTCCCCCTTCTAGTAACAGTCCTTAATAGGGATTATAGCACCCACTACTTTAATCCCTATTGAGGACTGTTAGTATAAGAACATCCCAACCCAAACCCATTCAACTCATGTTAAACCCCTAAACCTGCCCTGCTGTTTGGGCAGTTAGCTCAGGTTTTGCATCGAGTCTGCCCTGCACGCCACTTCCCCTGGAGAGCTGGCCGCCACTGAGCCAAAACTGCCGTGGTTCAGGGTTTCTACTTGGAGGTTCATGGGTACATATAACCCCAATTAGAGGACTTAGGGCGCTTATATGTGCAGTGCTAATTGGGGTTAGAAGTACCCTGAGCCTCCAAGTAGGGCTTATAGGCTTATCGGGGTTAGGTTTATGAGCTGTTCTTCGGACATCCAAGCCGCATCTTCCGCCCTTGTGATCGCTTGGCGAGTCCGAGCAACTTTCGGGTTTGGGGACTTGCTGGTTGCTGGTTGTTGCTGGGGGGCCAGAATGCCTTGCATGCCAAGGTAGTAGCAAGCCTTCCATTTTGTCCATAGATACAAGCTGCAGTCTGAGGCGTCCAGTTTGACTGTGCCTATTAGCTACTAGCTACGAATTACCACCAACTACTGACTACTAATTACTACTTCTACTGCTACTCTCTTTGGCTCTGGCGGCCCTGGCGGAATCACCGAGGTTCGGAAGCTGGAGAAGGCGGCAATGTGCCTGCACGAAGGCATGAAGGCCTGCTGGTTGTGTGGGGCGCGGGGGAGGGCGGGGGGGGTGGGGCCAGTCCAAATCAGCATCAGCTGCGCACATCGCAGAGCTCCGGATCGATTCTGCCAGGTGTCAAAGGTTCAAGTGCGACAAGCCCTGGCATCTCCGGAATGGACTGGTCATCGAACACCGGCGCATCCGTGATGGCCCTGGCGAGGTGGATCGCGACTGCACATGCGTTTCTTGCAGCTGCGCCGCCGTCACCACTCATGCACATACGTCTGCGTGGGGCGCTCACCAGAACTCACCGGTCCAATGGCCCACCTGCCTGTTCCAACAGAGCTTCCGCACGGGAAGCCACAAGCCCTAAACCCTAAAGCCGAAACCCTAAACCCTGAACCCTTAAACCCCAAGCTCTACCCCTCCAGCGTTCCATCTCGGGCTTCCGAACCTGGGTTTGGCGGTCGCCCATGGCGTCAGCTTGCTTGAGCCCAGCTGTCGCGCTTTCATTCGCAGACCTGAGCCATGTCTTGCTTTGGTTCCTGGGCCTTCCATGTTGCAACTGGATACTATGTTTTAGGCATGTCTAAAAACTAGTATTTTTTTTAGACATGTCTAAAAATAGTATCCTCTTGCAAAACTCAAAGCGTGTTGGTCGACAGACTTCAGATGCGCCTCGGACGGCTTGCACAAGACGTTCTGATGTTCAATGTGCTTACCGACAGAAATTACCATTGATCCTGAGCTGGGCGCTTAGGGTTTCAAGAAGGGCATGGGGGATGAGCTGCCTTTTGCCCCCTACATGTTTAAGCTTTAAGGGGACTCCGGAGTCCTCATTCCCCCATTCCCTGGACTAAGCACCACGAACTAGGTAGGTCCTTGGGACATCTTATCGGGTTTAAGAGGATCATATTCAAGAAAATTGTTCAGAGGGCTTTAAGGCCCATCTTAGGTAAGAAAAGCGCAAGTACTTGGAGGTTCATGGGAAGTTATAGGTAGGGTTATAGGTATGGAAATTATACTTATAACCCTACTAGGGTACTGATAACCCGATTTATAACCCTAAACCCCGGCCCTAAACCCTAAACCCTAAACCCTAAACCCCGAACCCGAAATAACTATCCATGAGCCTCCAAGTAGGGAAATAATTTTGGCAACTATACTCATAACCCTACTTGGGGTACTTACAACCCTATTAAATAGCCACAAGTACCCATGAACCTCCAAGTAGGGAACCAAATCCGCATCCCCCACCGGCCTTGGCAGGGTTTCTTCGAGGGAGACCTCGCCCAGATCCTCGATACCGATCGTCGGAGAGGTATTCGGTTGTTTGTCTTCAGGGTCGCCTAAACCCTAAACCCTAAACCCTAAACCAGCGTGGAGGCGTGGATGTTGGCCCAACATCCACCCCCCCAGCGTGGAGGGGTGGATGTTGGCCCAACATCCACCCCCCCAGCATGGATGTTGGCCCAACATCCACCCCCCCAGCGTGGATGTTGGCCCAACATCCACCCCCCCAGCGTGGATGTTGGCCCAACATCCACCCCCCAGCGTCCCCCAGCGTGGATGTTGGCCCAAGATCCACCTTTCCATAGTGGATGTTCGCCCAACATCCACCCCCCCAGCGTGGATGTTGGCCCAACATCCACCCCCCCAGCATGGATGTTGGCCCAACATCCACCCCCCCCCAACATCCACCCCCCCAGCGTGGATGTTTGCCCAACATCCAAATTCCCAGTGTGGATGTTGACCCAACATCCACCCCCCCAGCGTGGATGTTGGCCCAACATCCACCCCCCCAGCGTGGATGTTGGTCCAACATCCACCCCCCCAGCGTGGATGTTGGCCCAACATCCACCCCCCCAGCGTGGATGTTGCCCAACATCCACCCCCCAGCGTGGATGTTGGCCCAACATCCACCCCCCCAGTGTGGATGTTGGCCCAACATCCACCCCCCCAGCGTGGATGTTGGCCCGACATCCACCCCCCCAGCGTGGATGTTGGCCCAACATTCACCCCCACCCAGCGTGGAGGGGTGGATGTTGGCCCAACATCCACCCCCCCAGCGTGGAGGGGTGGATGCTGGCCCAACATCCACCCCCCGTGGATGTTGGCCCAACATCCACCCCCCCAGCGTGGACGTTTGCCCAACATCCACCCCCCCAGTGTGGATGTTGGCCCAACATGCACCCCCCCAGCGTGGATGTTAACATCCACGCTGGCGGGGCATGTTGGGCCAACATCCACACCCGCAGCGTGGATGTTGGCCCAACATCCACACCACCAGCGTGGAGGGGTGGATGTTGGCCCAACATCCACCCCCCCAGCATGGATGTTGGCCCAACATCCACCCCCCCAGCGTGGATGTTGGATGTTCACCCCCCCAGCGTGGATGTGGGCCCAACATCCCCAGCGTGGATTTTGTCCCAACATCCCCCCCCCTCCAGCGTGGACGTTGGCCCAACATCCACCCCCCCCCCCCCCCCCCCAGCGTGGATGTTGGCCCAACATCCACCCCCTAGCGTGGATGTTGGGATGTTGGCCCACAACATCCACCCCTCCAGCGTGGATTTTGGCCCAACATCCACCCCTCCAGCGTGGATGTTGGCCCAACATCCACCCCCCCAGCGTGGATGTTGGCCCAACATCCACCCCTCCAGCGTGGATGTTGGCCCAACATCCGCCCCTCCAGCGTGGATGTTGGCCCAACATCCACCCCTCCAGCGTGGATGTTGGCCCAACATCCACTCCTCCAGCGTGGATGTTGGCCCAACATCCACCCCTCCAGCATGGATGTTGGCCCAACATCCACCCCCTCCAGCGTGGATGTTGGCCCAACATCCACCCCCCCAGCGTGGATGTTCGCCCAACATCCACCCCTCCAGCGTGGATGTTGGCCCAACATCCACCCCTCCAGCGTGGATGTTGCCCAACATCCACCCCTCCAGCGTGGATGTTGGCCCAACATCCAGCCCACCATCCACCCCTCCAGCGTCGATGTTGGCCCAAACTTGGCCCAACATCCACCCCTCCAGCGTGGATGTTGGCCCAACATCCACCCCTCCAGCGTGGATGTTGGCCCAACATCCACCCCTCCAGCGTGGATGTTGGCCCAACATGCACCCCTCCAGCGTGGATGTTGGCCCAACATCCACCCCTCCAGCGTGGATGTTGGCCCCACATCCACCCCTCCAGCGTGGATGTTGGCCCAACATCCACCCCTCCAGCGTGGATGTTGGCCCAACATCCACCCCTCCAGCATGGATGTTGGCCCAACATCCACCCCTCCAGCGTGGATGTTGGGTGGCTGTTGGCCCAACATCCACCCCTCCAGTGTGGATGTTGGCCCAACATCCACATCCACCCCTCCAGCGTGGATGTTGGCCCAACATCCACCCCTCCAGCGTGGATGTTGCACCCCTCCAGCGGGGATGTTGGGGGATGTTGGCCAACATCCACCCCTCCAGCGGGGATGTTGGCCCAACATCCACCCCTCCAGCGTGGATGTTGGCCCAACATCCACCCCTCCAGCGGGGATGTTGGCCCAACATCCACCCCTCCAGCGGGGATGTTGGCCCAACATGCACCCCTCCAGCGGGGATGTTGGCCCAACATCCACCCCTCCAGCGGGGATGTTGGCCCAACATCCACCCCTCCAGCGGGACTCCAGCGGGGATGTTGGCCCAACATCCGCCCCTCCAGCGGGGATGTTGGCCCAACATCCACCCCTCCAGCGTGGATGTTGGCCCAACATCCACCCCTCCAGTGTGGATGTTGGGCCAACATTCGCCCCTCCAGCGCGGATGTTGGCCCAACATCCACCCCTCCAGCGTGGATGTTGGCTCAACATCCACCCCTCCAGCGTGGATGCTGGCCCAACATCCACCCCTCCAGCGCGGATGTTGGCCCAACATCCACCCCTCCAGCGTGGATGTTGGCTCAACATCCACCCCTCCAGCGTGGATGTTGGCCCAACATCCACCCCTCCAGCGTGGATGTTGGCCCAACATCCACCCCTCCAGCGTGGATGTTGGCCCAACATCCACCCCTCCAAGGCGGGATGTTGGCGCCAACATCCCCCCTTGCCAGGCGTGGATGTTGGCCCAACATCCACCCTCCCAGCGTGGATACCTCCAGCGTGGAATTTGCCAACATCCACCCCCCTCCAGCGTGGATGTTGGCCCAACCATCCAGCCCCTCCAGCGTGGGATGTTGGCCCAACATCCACCCCCCACCCCTCCAGCGTGGATTTTGGCCCAACATCCACCCCTCAGCGTGGATGTTCGCCCAACATCCACCCCTCCCGCTGGCTGTTTGGCCCCAACACCCACCCTCCATCGGGATGTTGGCCCCTCCAGCGTGGATTGTGGCCCAACATCCCACCCCTCCACGTGGTGTTGGCCACATCACCCCCTCCAGCGTGGATGTCTGGGTGGCTGTTGGGCCCCAACATCCACCCCTCCGCGTGGAGTTGGCCCAACACCCCAACCCCTCCATCCACGTGGATGTTGGCCCAACATCCACCCCTCCAGCGTGGATGTTGGCCCAACATCCACCCCTCCAGCGTGGATGTTGGCCCAACATCCACCCCTCCAGCGTGGATGTTGGCCCAACATCCACCCCTCCAGCGTGGATGTTGGCCCAACATCCACCCCTCCAGCGCTGGCCCAACATCCACCCCCCCCAGCGTGCAGGGGTGGATGTTGGCCCAACATCCACCCCCCCAGCGTGGATGTTGGCCCAACATCCACCCCCCCAGCGTGGATGTTGGCCCAACATCCACCCCCCCAGAGTGGATGTTGGCCCAACATCCACCCCCCCAGCGTGGAAGGGGTGGATGTTGGCCCAACATCCACCCCGCGCCCCCCCCCCATAAGGATGTTGGCCCAACATCCACCCCCCCAGCGTGGATGTTGGCCCAACATCCACCTCTCCAGCGTGGATGTTGGCCCAACATCCACCCCTCCAGCGTGGATGTTGGCCCAACATCCACCCCCCCAGCGTGGAGGTTGGCCCAACATCCACCCCCCCAGCGTGGAGGTTGGCCCAACATCCACCCCCCCGCCCAGCGTGGATGTTTGGCCCTCAACAATCCCACCGGTCCCCCGCCCCAATAAGTATGTTGGCCCAACATCCCACCCCCCCAAGGCGGGCTGTTGGGCCCAACATCCCCTGGCCCAGCGTGGATGTTGGCTCCAACATCC